GATGAAATTGTTTGTGATACAAGTATTTTTTTTTTTTTAGGCAAATAAAACTTATTATCCAAACAAAGCCATTAACTGTGTACCACATTGAATAAACAAAAGCCCGCCATGCATGGAAGGAAAAGTCAACTATCGATGAAAATTATGGATTAATTTTTTTTACATTGACAGTATATATTAATGGATTTATATGCATATCACATGTGTAGAAATTGAAGTGTAAAATTTTCAATTATGTGATTGGTTGTTAATAGTTAACTGGCCTTTATTATGATGGGAAGTTTAAGGGATGTTGTCATATTGGCACTCACCTTCAACATTTTGCTTGTGTTAATATCCACTTCGATGTGCTTGCTTGCACGTAAATTATTCCAACAATTAACCAAATTTGTTATTTCGTCCAACCACCAGTAAAAAGGTGAATCTCATGTTTTCTCTACTATAATCCTTTGCAAGGGAAAAAAAAAAAAAAAAAAAACTAGCATTTGTTAGCAAAACATTAAATGCTCTTAATGGGAAGACTCTCTTTGATTATTAAGGAAAGATTCTAAATCAAACATACAATTCTTCCCAGGTTTAAGGGCACTACGCTTCCTAAGTTGTAAAGTTTGATTTTTAAGCAAAATAGATTATTTCACTGGAAAAAATAAAATTCTAGGGGGCCAAATTCACAAAATAGTCGAAATTCACAATTTAAGATACAATTCTATTATATTAAGTAGTTCATTTATTACTGAGGAGGCCCTGCTCTACTCTAGTGATTAAAGTTGAGATCCCAGATAATATTAAAGATTTTAGATTCTAATTCTCCTACCTTCTCATCGTTTTTAAATTCCATCCCTCCCCTGCTTAAAAAAAAATAAAAAAGTGATCTCTTTATTCCAAATAAAACGGAGCAAATGAATGAGTTGGATTCTGTCTTCTTCTTCTTCTTTTTTTTTTTTTTTCCCAATGTAAGATTATCTTAGATAGATAAATCAAAAAACAAGTGCAACGTGTGAAAATTTCCACAGATGGCTACCTGTAATATCTAAATTAATTCGAGTAGATTGGAACTTTCACCATGCTGAGGAGCTCAATCTTTTCATATACCCAAAAAAAAAAAAAAAAAAGTTTTTCTTCACAATTTTGGCAAAGTATCAAGAACTCAATTATTTCAATGCTGATCACATCAGCAACCATAAATGCAGTTGCCAGCATAAATAGATTATACTATCATCTTTAACCAACCACGCAACCACTTCATTTTTCATATATTTCTATTGGTTCTAAAGGTACACACTTGTTCCTTCGCTCTAATTTGTTTTTCCCACATACTTTGCTGTCCACACTCCACTCGATCATAGGAACTCCATCATTGATCCCTTGCTCAAGTGGCTACCAAATAAGTGTAGAATATCATAATGAAATCTCCTCATTGCATGACGAATCTGAGGGCATCTAAAAATTGAAAAGGTCCGTTGCGGTAGAATGGTTAAATAGAGCATTGCCATTCTTGGCAATTTTAATCATTCTTAACCCCTTTCAAAAAGTGGACTGTGGACCAATTCTTCTTGCCTTTCTTTTCTTTTCAATTTTTGGGTCGGCGGTGGGGTGGTTGTGCTGTGTCAATTGGCAAGGTCCGAGTTGGATCCTTTGATCAACATCTAAATTCATTAAATTTAATTAAATCAAGATCTTTCTGAATCTAAAAAAATAAATCAAAACCCAGACTTTCCTAAATCTGGATATCTATTAGGTATCATCCATTGTATTTTTCTAAATACACTAAAGTAAAAATATATAGATTTCAAAAAATATATAAACACCATCCAATTTTTATTTTCAAATAATAAAATTAATATTTAAGAAGTTGAATGCAATATTATGAATTCAAAAAAATAACTATTATTGATTGCTTCTATTTACTTTTAAAACTTCAATTATATTTATGTCCAATCTTTCATTTATTTGTCTTTACTTTTTCTGAAAAAGTTTGTACTAACTACAATAACAACTAGAATTAGCTTGAAAAAAGAAAGCAATCATGAAATCTTACTGTATTCGATCCAATGACCATAAAAATATTAGAATATTTTTATAAATTTACTAATATATATAATTTAATTATGTGTACATGGGTACGGGTAGACTCTAGTATGAGTTTGGATTTGAATATGAATTATAGAAAATCGAACCCTATCCAAACCCACAACTCTTTTACAGGGTAGGTTGGATCTAGGTTGGATCTGGATAAGATTCAATCCATTGACATGTCTACTCGGGATGATGAATGCAAAAAAATTCTTCTCTCCACTAATTCTCATGATTTATGAATTTTAAAATTTTCTTGTGAAGATAATAACTTTAGCTTATGCGCTACTATGGGGCTGTTTGGAACCTGAGTTTTTTGAGAGTTTGTCTAAAACTTTACTGTAGTGCACTGTAGAAGTTTTTGAAAAAATTTTGTAAAAGTTTTTGTAAGGTGAAATTTTTTTCCCTTCTCTTTTTTTCCTTCTCTTTCTTTTTCTTTTTCTTTCTTTCCTTTTTCTTTTCTTTCCTCTCTTTCTTCTTCTTTTTCTTCCTTCCCCCTCCCGCCACCCCTCTCCTCCCTTTCCCCTTCTCCTCTCCTCTGCCTTTCCCCTCTCCTCTGCACGCGAACCCCTTCCCCCGCTGCCCCTTCCCTTGCTACTCCGCCACCCCCTCCCCCTCTTCCCCCTCCTCTCTGCACGCCACCCCTTCCCTCGCTGCCCCGCCTTCCCCTCCCCTCTGCACGCAACCCCTTCCCCTGCTGCCCCGCCACCTCCTCTGCCCTGCCACCCCCTCCCCCACTGCCCTTTCCCCCCCTCTCTCCCTTTGTTTCTTGGAGCGTCGACCACCACCTCCGGCGCCTCTTCGACTAGAAACGCAAGTGCACCAAAGCGCCAGTGCCCCCGACCTCCTCCGCACGCGCATCAGCCAACCCAGCTCCTAGTGCGCCTTCTCCACAGCCCGACCACAGCGCACTCCAGTCGTAAGGCGCGCGCAGTCGTTCGACTTCCATGCCCCTGCTTGGCTCTGCTTTTTTTTTTTTTTTTTTTTTTTTGCTTTTCTCCTCTCCCCCCCTCTGGGACTGAGACACCTCCTCCTCTTCCCCCTATTCCACTTCCACTTCTAATTCCAGTTCCTCCCGCCGCTACAATTCCTTCCATGCCCGCCATGGAAATAACGGATCCCCTAACCCTAACTCCACTTTGGGTGATTTATAAAAAAAAAAAAAACAATAAATAAAGAGAGACAGTCGGTCCAACCCTCGGCATAAACGACAGCGTTACTCCTCTTTTTGCAGAGGAGAGGGGGTGAGGGTGAGGGACAGAAAAAAATTTTTTGAGGTGATCGGCGCCGGTACAGGTGGTGGAGGTGGTAGCTGGCATGGTGGGTTGGATGAGGGAGGAAAAAGAAGAAAAGTTTTTGGAAAATTTTTTGTGTATTAGATTTTTGAAGTGTGTAGGGAAAAAACTTTAAAAAGTTTTTTGGGATTCCTGTAGCAAAAGTTGTTAAAAAACTAGTAGGTAAAAAACTTGGTCAAAAAACTCACTTCCAAACAGGCCCTATATTTCGTTATGCACTTCTTGGTGTATGTAATTTAGCCCTAAAAGGGTTGGACCATTTGAGGCCTTCATTAATATTCTCAATTTCACATGTTTAAATGATAAAATTATAATTTATCCAATATGTTGGTATTACTACTTACAGATTACATCTCAACCACATTATTAACCTTCTAATTTCAATATTTTTTAACAAGATTACAACAAAGCCACCATGTCGTGGGTCAGATTTACAACTAAATATTTACACATGATGTTTTTTTTTTTTTTTTTTTTGTCGACAGTGGGTATCTGGGTTCGTGGACTGGTTACCGTACGACCCAACTAATCCCACTACGAGCTGGGAGAGGCCTGCCCCAAGTATCACCAGCCACGGTAGAACCGGGATTCGATCCCTGGACGTGACTCTCCCCCAACTGGGACTACAACCACGGGACCAAACCCGGAGGGGCTTACACATGATGTATTTGATGGTCATTAAAATAGAAGGTACTGTTAAAGACAGTGATTAATCAATGAAAGATGGTCAGAAGTGTCTCCATGAGTCAAATACAACATGTTGTGAAAATTAAATATAAAATGAGAAATTGATTCAAGAAGGGCTCGATTAGAGCAAATGCTCAATTTAGAAGCTAAAACGAAACTGAGAGTATAGTTTCAAAGTTTTTCTGATCGGTGGACAATACATTCTGGTTAACAGGATCCTCGGGCCTTAATTTTTTTTGTAAAACTGAAGTCAAATAAAAAAAAAAAATGTATCCAAAATGGGAAAGAGATAGTAAATATAAACTGGAAACAGCTACCATGCGTTTATGACATAAAGATATTGTATTCCTCTATCAATTAATTATATAGGAAGGTTGCTTATTCTCTTTTATTTTATTTTATTTCCTTTTCTTTTTTTTTTTTGTCGAAGAAGAAAGCTTATTCGTATGTTTGATAGATGGCACAAACGCAAGCATTTCTAGCATCAATAAGCCCTCATGGAGAAAAAAAAAGGCCACTTATTGGATGAGAAAAAGCTGACTGAAAATGTCAAGTCTCATTTCCTTCTCACAAAGATTCTGAGTTACTTTCTGCTGAAACTTGAATGAGTGTTTGAAAGTATACACAGCAAAGCCAATAATGCTCCCGCGAAACAGGAATAATGATCTACAAATAATATTCCTTTAATTGCATTTTCTCTTCTCCGGAAAATCCAAAAAGAATCCTAATCCCATTTACATCTACATGGACGCACATAAAGGCTCATTTCTCAGTATATTGCTTAAAACAAAGTCAGTCTTGGAGACATTTATTTTAGCAATATACTGAGAAATTAGCCATACAAAAATGTCTCGGGTGTCCCTCCTCCCCTCCTCTCTCTCTCTCCCACCCCCCCCCTCCGGGCCCCTGCGGGAGGAAAAAAAAAACCTCAAAACCAAAACCTCCACCTCAAAACTACTTTGATCACAAAGGCTGACGCTGCAGCCTATGCACTTAAGCCGTTGCTGACAAGCCTAATGTTCTCACCTTCTTTGCAGGTTAAAACAAAAAAAATTATACATATAAAGTAGGGATTGATGGCACTATAAAATCTTATTTGAGACCAAGAAACTCCAATCCTACAGCTGAAGGCATCAAACCATATTTAGAGAGATATCCAACATCATAAAACTTACTAAGATGCCTCATCCCACTGTCACAAAGAATTGTCACAATGGTGTGACCTGGACCAAGTGCTTGCGCCACTCTAACAGCCCCCACACAGTTCATAGCAGAAGAACTCCCGAGAAAGAGGCCGTCATTCTTCAAGAGGTACCTGATTAATAGTGATAGATCAATATTGCAGATAAAGACCATATTTTGAACACATTTCCAAAAATTTTCTGATTGCATCGTTGACAGTATAGTTCATACTTTCAGGGTTCTGTCAATATTATTGAAAGACCAATTTGAGTTAAAAGTAAACCACTCTAGCCTCCGTAAGCAGGTTTTCTAGAGGAAGACAAGTAACTGAGAGAACAAACATAAAATACTCAACCAGTACTATTTTATCTTCATTATTGGCAGATAATTACAAGGGTATTTGTAATCATTGTGCAAACAAATCCTGAACAAATCCTGCTGTTTAAAAAGAAAATGGCGCTTGATGAAAGAGTGCGAACCTGGACATTTCAACAGCCTCCAAATCTGTGCCTCGGAAAGCCCCATCTAATTCTGCCAGTTTGAAATTTTCTGTTAATCTATTAATTCCAATTCCTTCAGTTATGGTATCAAACGGGTTTTTCAACCTCCGTCCTTCAGCCTCCTCTCTTGTGTACATTACTCCTCTGGTCACCTTATTGAACAAACCAGAACCAGGCGGATCTATGAGAAAACACCTGACATTGGCATTCTTCTCCTGTTAAATGCACGAACATCAGATCATGGCCACTGCAGGGCTTAATTAAAACTACAGGATTTCAGGAGGAATTAACCTTGAGAAAGCATGAGACACCAGCTACAGTCCCTCCTGTGCCAGCAGCTGCAATAAAAGCATCCAATTTGCCACCTGTCTGATCCCATATCTCAGGCCCAGTACCTTCATAGTGAGCCCTGAAATTAGCAAGGTTCTCAAATTGATCTGCAAAAAAGCCACCTTTGCAGTCACTGTAGAATATTGGGTCTTGCTTTCCTGAATCTGATGTGTAGCCATTGATCTGTTTGACATCTAGATATTCATTTTGGTTGCCTTTCCCATGCTTTAATGCTACTTGATTTGCTTCCAATGCCCTCCTCCTAGCAATATTGACAAAGTGGTCCTTGTGTGTAATTGACACTGGTCTAACCCTTTCAACTGTAGCACCCAAGGCCTCCAATATCTGAGACTGAATATAGAGCAACAAAGTTAAAACCAGTACAATTTAATTCAGTATGCACTGACACCATACTTGCAACGTAATAATTGAAATGTAATCAACCATTCCAAATTTGGTTGAACAAATAACTTTCAACGCCTTTATTGCTGCGATATATACACGTTCTCCAACAGACACTGAGCATTCAGTTCTCCAACTTTTGGGGATTAATGCCCAGCAGACAGACAATGCAAGAATGGCCTAATTGACTCGAATTTCCAATAGAATATTAAGGAACTGATCAACAGTCTGTAATTCTGGACCAGTAGTATTACTCAAATCAGCTAATTGACCTTGCATGTAGAATCCTACCCCAGCTGAGCTGATTCATAACCATTTGCAATAATAAACTAGCAAAGTTCAGTGCCAAATTGCCATATGCATTTACCTTCTCAATGGCAGCGTCATCAGGGATGACTACGTGGCATTTGCATCCAAAAGCAGGAGCTACTGTTGCAAGACTAATAGCTGTGCTTCCAGCACTTCCTTCTGTAATTATGCCACCTTGAGCTAGTGCTCCAGATTCCAAGGCCTGCTGGGTGTAATATACCAATAAGTTAAAGAGTACGGCATTTTTCCAGCATACAATATCAGTATTGGCATGGAATCATGGATTAGGCCAATGATATCAGAAGGCAGATAATGACAAGAAAGGTCAAGCATAGGAAAAAGGAACATTGCAACTATGGCAAAAAGAGTCTCGGAACGAATCATAGACAACTTCGTTGTTCCTCAGTGTACCACCATGTGAATGGTAACCAATATTCTGACTACTCAGATCTGGTTCTTGGACATGGGGAGAACAATTTAACAAACGTATTAACACACCTACATGGAGGAAAAATGGGGATTTAGAAGGGAAAAAACAGGGGAAATTATTGCAAAGGAATGCTCGGATAACACAAGTCATTGGTTTAATATTTTGGGAAACGCAGAAAGAAGGAGCAAAAAATGGCTACTAGTATGACCAATTGTGGATATATCAGATGAGTTGGCAAAAAATGAAAAAGGAAAAAACTTCCGACTAACTAATCTTTCACTTCCAAAGACAAATTTTGCGCCACATTTTTTAGCTGGTCTACCTCCAAATATAGAGCTTTGATATCAAAACAGTTAGAAAACTTAGCACTACCCCAGCTCAAGAAACTCATGCTCAAACATGTTAGCTCAATAAAACCATCTTATCACACAAAAACTCAAGTTGGTTCAATATTTCAAACAAGGTATCCCAAACTCAGAGAGCACAAATTTCTGTAATAAAGGATCCAAACTTCAAAACTTTCAAAGTAAAGTCAGAATACTTTAACACCCTTCAATTAAAAGCAGCAAGCTTAAGAAAAACAATTAAGTGACCTCTTCAATAATCTTCACTGCCACCCTATCCTTAACACTCCCTCCAGGATTCAAGAATTCAGCTTTGCCTAAAATCTAGCATAGTAAACAAATCCAATAATTGTCAATCAATTCAAGCAAATAATAAGCTGAATATAACTATGGAAAATAATATGCTTGTTGAGAAAAAGATTACCTCACAGCCAGTGGCATCAGAAAGGCTATTGATTCTGATCAAAGGGGTGTTGCCAATAGCGGCCACCAGCCCATTTCTAGCTTTTTTAACTGAAAGGGTTTTGGGGGTTTTCTTGGATGAAGCCTTTGATCGAGTCTTTTTGCAGAGGAGGTACGAGAGAAGCGCTATGGAGAGCGCAGTCGCAATAGCGCTAGTTGTTCTCAGCGGCGGCGCCATGGCCACCGGGAAGCCGTAGCTCCAAAATACGAACCGGGTCGAGTCTATTTTCGTTTGAACGCGAGAGCGGAAGAGGATGGCGTGGAATTTCAAATTGATGGTCAAACTGTAGAAGCCCATTGGACATGATCACTGGGCTCAATAATTAGCTGTTCTATCAATTTCTCTTGTCTAAGTTTTTTGGGCCACAAGCTTTGCCACAAGTTCTTTCCTTTTAATTAAGTCTTGCCACAACTATAAAATGTTAATAAACCTCTGTATATATATGATTCTTGGATATCAACTTGGTATATATATGATTCTTACAAAATTGAAAGATATCTAAAATATTTATATATTCTACCTTTATTATTAGTTACTTTTTTTTTTACCTTCCCCTATCCTTTCTATTTTCTATCCACTAATACCAGGCTAGGACTCGAATTTTAAATATGACAGTGAATAAAGCTCTACTGAATCAGCTTCAGTGGTTTATTAGTAGTTACTTGCGTGTTATTATTAAAAAAATTCACTGCTGAATTTTTCATAGTTTGAATGGTATATCACCACTTTTCATTACTTTACGTACTAATGTAGTACCATGTTAAATTGGTTTACACTTTCAATGATGCACCTGCAATTCATTGCAAACAATTTGAGGCTATGTGTTATTTAAAGCGTTTTACAATTTTCTGTACAGTATGATTTACTAAATGGACGCTAAAAGAATATTGTTTCGTATAAGAGTCAAGTGTTGTTTACATTAAAGGTCTAAACTTGTACTCTTGGTAAATTACCCTAGAGTTCAAACAAGCTTCTTTTAGGAATTTTCCTTTTGTTGCAGTAACGTCTTATTTTATACGTGATAAAATTTTTATCATAAAATGAAAGAGTTGGGCCATTTTGTTTCTTTTGAATGTGAACCGTCGTGTTTGTTTTTGGAAGATTGAAGAAGTGGAGAAATGCTAGAATAAATCTGTTGATTTCCTTTGAGGGGGGAAAAAAGGGGTTTGAGATAGTGTACAACTAATAAAATTGATATTGTCTCCGTTTCAATGTTAGTGCTATCAACATTTTCTTTTTTCGATAGAATTAGCCGTATATCATTCTTGAGTTTTCGTTGAAGTATGAAATGAATAGTGAAAAAACCTTCTTGGTGTCAAAAAAACTTGTTGATAATTTCTCAGAAAAACAAAACTGAACAGTCATTTCCTGCTTTCTTTTCTTGTCTTCCGAGACAAAAGTTTTTTATGACCAAGAAATAATGCACCTCCTGCCAGCCTGGGTAGTGCCCATCTATAGTACCTTGGAGTAATGCAGCCGCACAAGTTGTAGTACCATGTGAAAAGGTGTCTCCAAATTAGAGTGAACTGAACAAAGAGGTGGAGGTATATCGCCTCTGCCTGCCTGCAATGTCTCTTTCTTTACGTTCATGGGAGTAAATAATTCGGATCAGAATTCAGAATATGTATAGTCCCAAAGTTGTCAAACCAAGTCATTAAGCCTTGCATTTTCTTCAACCTGGAATTGCAGTTGTATTGGGATGATGAGGTTGAAGTCGAAATTAAATCTCACCCAGAAAAGATCTTGCTAGAAATTAAGGCCATTTTGCCAATGAGACAAACTGTCAATTTCAGGTTTTGGTTGCTTCTGTGACTGGCTAGTATTCATAATATTCAAGCATCTGTGGGTCATGCAGGCTAAAAAAAAAATTTTCCCCTCTAACTCTTTTGTAGAAGAGTAGTTGAGAATTTTCTCCTAATTTACACGTGATTCGTGTTCGATCTGAAAGAAACGTTTGTAATTATCTTGCAATATCCTCGTATGATTAAAGAATCAATTGAGCAGTCTACTTCACTGATAATAAACACCACTCATTTGATCTAATCAGAAGAGGAAACATAAAAAGTGAGAAAGTCCTTGGCATGTCGATTTTACTTGCACTGTCTAATATCCCCACCAAAAAGGCAGAAGGGTTCCACAGTTTAAGTTCTTTCCGATCCAGCTGTGTTTGATCACTCATTCTATTGTCCTCAAACATGATATCTTCTCACTCATTTTCCACCTTAAATGTTTGTGGTCACAATTCTATAACTCGTTATTTCCATATCCCAAAGTCTAGTAGAAGTTCATACTTCTTCAGCCTAAGAAAGCATTCATTTGAGCAAACAAAGCTCAAATTCTGCAATTTGAGAGCTAAATATGGAGTCAAAAGGTAAGGATCTCATCCGTTTTCTCATCAGCACATTTCAGATTCCCAATAGTAAGTTCTTTATAATACTAAGAACATCACTATTAATTGACTCTATTATAGGGTTATGTGCTCATCTAGCAATGATCATCAGGAGCCCAAAGCTCCAACTCCTCAAAAATCTGATATGCCCGATTGGTACGCCACCTTTTAATTTCAGTATCATATATGGATTAATCAACCTTTAAATCAACATTTTCTGCATGAAAACAACAAGGGATCTGTTTTTCCGATGCCAATTTAATTCGTGCAGGAAAAAATGGACTGTTGGGATTGTGTTTTCCATAATTCTACCTGCAGTTGGACACAAAATGGGACCTTTAATGCTTCTCAAAAGTCAGTAAGCTTTTCTGGGCCTTGTAAAGGTTTAGTTACAGAACTACTATAATAGTACTAGAATCATTTTAATATACTGTCGATCCATTTTTATTTAGCTGGTGGATGGTTCTAGGCAAGGTGGATATGGTCATACAAAAAGTGGACGAAGTGACAGAGGTGGTGGAAGACATAGCTGAAGCAGCAGTAGATGTTGTAGAAACAGTAGAGGAGAAGCTTCCTGAAGATTCAAAGCTCAGGGAAGAGGTTCATACTATCAAGGATCTAGCTGAAAAAGCCGTTGAAAAAGCAAAACAAGCTGATGAGCTTCTTGACCAGGTAACTTTTTTGGTTTGCAAGTTTGTTTTGTGGGTTCTCTAGTTTGATGTACTGCAGCTAATCATTAAACGATGCTGATATATTTAACGAAATCTCAGAAAATGAAAATTCAACAAGAAATCTGATGAAGATGATGATTCTCGAAAATTTTGCAGATAAAGGATGTTGAGGATAAATTTATGGAATCGCTTAGAGGACCTGAACGCAATGAAGCAGAAAAAGAACCAAGCAACAAAGACGTGGATCGGTCCGTCAAGGCATAATTGTGCAAAGTTGGCTTCACTTAGGCTCTGTTTGTTTGGACTGAAAATCTTTTCCAGAAAATATTTTCTTCAATTTCTGGTGTTTGGCTGCAAAAGAGGTCAGGAAAATTTTTTCCAGTAGAAAATCTTTTACATAACTTGGTGTAAAATGACTTCCGGAATTAAGATACGGAAGTTAATTTCCGACAACTATCGTGACTTACTAGTCTCCTTGGTACTTGGCTATTGTACAAAACCATCAAGTACTACATCACAGAGATCAAATCAAGAGCAACATCCCTGCACTTGCTTCTGCAAATTCCACAACTTTCCACCTCTTCGAGCTCCCTTCTTTCTTATGTTCCTCCCTACTATTCATTTTCACTTGCTCCACACAAACACATTTATGGATTATACAATTCTAGATCTAAATTGGGCTTTACATTGAGAAGCTTTGGAGAAGGAAAAAAAAAGTGAAGCCAATGGAGGCAGGAGGAATACTTTTAGAAGAAGAGTTAATACAATAAACATCAAGTTACAATTTCTAATTTCTTATAATGGTTCAATCAATAATTTAAACTTTTTATTACAATGATACTCAACTGGGTTTGGGAGATTGTGAGTTCTTGGTTATGGTCTTTAATTTATTTTTTGGGACTTGAAAGGATTTGGATTAGGGGTGGGCACGGGTCGGGTACCCGCCCCTAACATGATTTGGCTGACCCGACCCTAATATATCGGATCAGCCATTTTGCGACCCTAACCCGCTCCTAATATTTTCGGGTACCCGAATAACGGGTACCCGAAAAAAAGGGGCGGGTCATAGGGTACCCGCCCCTAAAAAAAACTATTTTTCAATAAAAAAAATTTATTTTCTACTTAATATCAACATGTTTTTCAATAAAAAAAAACATGCTTTTCCAATTAATATTGGTAGAGATATTGTAATTAAAGTCCATACATCACCATTCTCACACATTTCATCCAATAATCAAATCGATCTCATAAATTTAGTACATATTAGAATATCTAATAGACAAAACGAAGTTTCATAATAATTTTGAGTACATCACCATTTTCACACATTTCATACTTCTACAACATAACAAACACAAGGATAATAAGTATTTGGTAACTTCCCCAAGGATAATATGGTACAAGACCGCATCTCAAATAAGTCAATTGTGAAATCAAGTTCGGAAAAAAATTGAATAGAACTAATTATTTTTGAAAAAAATATAACAAAAAATAATGTTAAAAATCTTTCCCAACTTCTTTACATCTTTGGAATAGACCTTATGGTATTAAGGTGATGAAAAAGAAAAATAAATTTCTTACACTAAATAAAAGAGACAAATTAAAGAGATATAATTGCAAATGAATGACACAAATATTTTAATTATCTAGCTAACAGAAAATTGAAACTCCAAACAAAAATCTTTGATTGAATTGATGCAAGATTTGCAGGAAAGATCGATGGAGGTAGAATAAAAATAAAAAAGATGAAAGGGATGAACAATTTTTATAACAGAGTTTCACAAATTTTTTTTTTCATTTTGTTCATGTTTCACCGAGAATATTCGCTTTCTTAAAAAAAAATGAGAAGAGTAGATCATATAGGATTAGAATATGAGGCTGCGAGCCACTTCACTTGCACTTAGAATTAAAAATTACAAAATTATAAAATGATCCCTACTTTTTTAATATTTATAAAATATACCCTGCGGGTCGGGTACCCGCGGGTTTTTATTTTTCTGATCCGTATCCGTACCCGATTTTTCGGGTACCCGACCCTCATCTGCCCCGCTGAGAAAAATCGGATCGGGTATCCTATTTTTCGGATCGGATCGGATCGGATTCATCGGGTTTTCGGATCGGCGGGTTTTTTTGCCCACCCCTAATTTGGATTGGGGATTGTTTGTGGTGACTGATGAGGTGGGTAGAGGTAATGATAATTAGTAGTAGCAATTACCGAAAGAGAAATCTGAGGACAATATTATTGTTGGAGGATTTTAATTTTTTTGGAACATTTTCTTAAAATTGCACCAAACACCAGAAAATGAAGGGAAAATTAGATATTTTCCAGGAAAGCATTTTCATTGAAAATGTTTTCTTAAGGAAAATATTCTACATTGAAACAAACAGACCCTTAATGTCGTTTTGGTTCATTAGTGAGGATAAATGGTGAGTATTTTGTGTTCTAGATTTTTGATGGAATATATAGATTTGCAACTACGGTTTAAAATACTCAATCTAATTGTAACTAACTAATACAGGAAAGAGTTAAAGGTTTTTAAAAATAAGTTATTTAAAAAAAAAAAGAAATTTTTGCTTTTCGACAAGAGAGGGGTAGTATTTAAAAAGTCAAAGGGAAAAGAAAATTTTAAATTTTTAAGACCTTGAATTCCCGAAATCTCAATATTAGTCCTTAGTTCGTTTGGATTTCTATTTTTAGGAGCTTTTGTTTTATTACTTTTAGATTGCCACAAACTTTAATAGTGGAATAGTCTACTTTGAGATATTAACTTTTTTTTCCCCTTTTTGTTTGACACACTCCTTCAATTTTTAAGAGAAAGCAGCTGCTGAAAAACCCCAAAGAAAAAAGTTTCGAAGTGGTATTCTATTGTCCATAAGTTTCACATAACCGGAAACTATCGGATTTTGAGCGTAGCCTGTTTAATTAAGGGTCTTCATTCGAGTTAAATCCAAAAATTAAATGGAATAGTTAAAATTGAACCATCGGCCTCGCAAAGCAGAAGTATCAATCATTGTCATTCTTATCTGAAGGCTATTCTATGATGGAAATCTGTATGGACTACCAAGGGAAGAAAACCAATCTAGTGTAGCTGATTTGACGGCCAGGCAGGGGATCGATCAAGTCCCTAATGTTTAATTAGTTGCACTAGTCTTGATTGGATGTGGGCTGATTCCTTCCTTGTTCACCTGTAAATATTCATTCGGGTCTGTAAATATTCCTTCCCTGTAGCGTAAGAGTAGGTTGGATAGATAAGATTGACGCCGCTCTAAGACGGGCCATCATTTCATTTAATCTTGTAGCATAGGAGTAGGTTTGGATAGATAAGATTGACGCCGCTCTAAGACGGGCCATCATTTCATTTAATGTTGTGAACGATGACTACAAAGTGATGAAAATTCGATACAAAACCAACTGCCTAAGTTTTCGAGTCATAATAGTTTTAAGAAACAATTCTTGGAAAGTGATGTGATGGACTTAGGGGTGTAATCGAGTCGAGTCGAGTTCGAGTATTGCTATACTCGAGCTCGACTCGACTCATATACACCAAAGCTCGAGCTCGACTCGACCTCGAGCGAGTCCAAAAAATCGATACTGGAGACTCGACTCAAAAAATTTTCTTTAGGCTCGAGGCTTGACTCGATACTCGAGGCTCAAAAATTTTTTTCATTTTAGGTCTTTTTACAATTATGTTATTATTTTTTTGCCATTATAGGATTTTATTATAAAGAATGATATATTGTAAATTTCATATAACTTATACCCATAATGGTCATTTTATAATTATAATACATATATATTATTTAAATTATAAATATATTATTTAAATAACTCCGGCTCGTCGAGCTACTCGACTCGACTCGAGCTGGGCTATTTCGACTCGAAACTCAACCCGAGTTCGAGCCGAGTCGTTGACCGAGCTACTCGCGAGTAGCTCGGCTCGCGTGCATCCCTAGATGGACTCCACAGATGTTCACATTACTACTAAGCACGGGTTTGTGAGTGAGATTAAAAACATCGGTGTGGTTCATAATGCATGGCTTTATTCATTGGACTTCTTCTTGCACAAAAGAAATCGAATCAGGAGGACTGTATCTCAATGAATTCGACATGAATTCAGAAATCTATTGAGAAACTTTGCTTCCTATTGATCCAATTCCGACTTCTTTGGCCGTTGCAATCTACTCTGGCCTTTCAAAGGGTATCGACTATGGATTGGATGGGACATGTGGATGATGAATGAAGATAATTCTTGGACGAAAAAAATATTTGTTGTTCTACTAATCTTTGGACTCTCCAATTTTAAGACTAAGGTGATCACAGTACATGACTGATCAAAGAGTTGGAGAATCCTCTCTTGATCATGGTTTGCCATCGTGGGTAGCGGTCACGTCGCGGTCTCAGTTGTTCCACGTCCGTCGCGGCATATCGGTTAAATATTGGATGATACGCACATTATAACACATGAAAGTTTTCAAAAATTTTTTAAAAATTACTAAAATTAGAAAATATCAAAAAAAATGCACAATTTAAAAAAATATCCGAGTCGATTCCGAATTGTTTCGGATACATCGGCCGATATCATGCATCACGGATTCGAATCGACCAATATCGGCCTAGTCAGAGCGAGTCGTCACCGATATGCTAATACTCGCGACTCAGAGATCGATATCGTACCAGCCCTCTCCGTTTCGGTTACAACTCGACCGATATCGCAAACCATGCTCTTGATGTACCTTCACCTCCTGATTTCTTCGTCCAAGTTGAATATATATGCAGAAAGCCTGGTGTCTGATCTGTTCCAGCTCGAAAATTGTACGTCCATTCAAACAAGAAACAAAAGAAGGAGATGGTAGGACTAGGAGTTAAGAGTTTAGCGCGAAGCTAATTACGTCCTTCACCTTTGTTCGCTAATTAAGACCGGCCTTTAATTTCAAATTTCCAATTTCAAATAAATTCAGCCTCTAGTGATGAGTGCCCAAGCCATTAGATTAGACAACCTCTTAAGGCTCTAATGAGTTGGGAGTTGTAACTAGTTCTACCATCACAAGGCGTGAACAAGAAGACAGAATGAGGTAGACGCCTTTGCATGAAAAATGCATAAAGTCAGGATATGAACGCCAAGCAATATTTGAAGGAAAGCACGCATGCACTTGAGGCAGAGCCTCACCCTTACAATTGAGTTTCTTTTTCTTCTCTCTCTTTCCAGTTCTATGTTCAACATACACAAGATTCCGTCAGGAGAAAAGTAATCTTCATTCTATAACAAAAATTAAGAAAGAAATTCTACCAACAACACAAAAATTCCTTTCTTTCCTTTTCCCCTTCTACTTCAGCATTCTAATCGAATCAGGAATACAAAAATTACTAGCCCTACAATAACATACTTTATCTATACACAAAAGGTGGTAACATGGCTATTTGCTCAATATTGGCATTGTTTTTGCTTTGGTTTTGTCCCTAAAATTTTTGGCCCTCCAACAAATACTTTCTTGCAAGTTGCAGCCCCAATAAGCAGGTTCAAGTAATATTTGCCGCAGCTTCGGCTGCATAAGATGGAGATGGGAGAGAAT